CCCCCCCCCCGTGGCTTGTGGTATGGCATGGCAGCTCAGCAACAGGGCAGACCACGCCTTTAGGTCCCTCTCATTAAGCTTAAAATCCTTACAGCTCAAAAATTGTGACTTTTTTCATACAACACGTGGCTGCCGCCATTTTGACTGGGGTCAGGTGACTTTATCACCATCTTGACTGAGGGCCATGTCAGGTGACCATATTCCACCATCTTTACTGAGGTATTACCTGCCGGGTTCCCCAGTGTTAACTTTATTACATGGGTGACCTTACTGCCATCTTGGCTAAGAGCCAGGTCAGATGACCAAGCTCTCCCATTTTTACTTAAGCATACCCTGCCTTGTCGCCCGGTTTTCACTAAAATCCTCTTGTTAACTCTGTTACATGTGTTTTGCGCAGTGGCATGCCTTTGATAGGGCCCATCAAAGCATCCATGTTGCCCAATTCCTGTTCACTCTTTCTGTGTATAATAATTGTTCATTACATCTCATTTCAGATGACAAAATCATAAGTGTCATGTTTTAAACTCGTATGTACTTTTAAGTCTCTTACAAAAATGCCTTATATTTAATCCAACCCCCATTTAAAATATATTAAGCTGTTCTCTACAACTGTCAGTTCTGCCATTAACCTTCTATTGCAAGCAGTTTCTTCTTTCTGTCTTTTTATGAGTATAAATCTTAATTGTTAAGAGCCAGTACAGTCAGGCTCAGACACAGCCTTCCAGGCAGATTCTATACTGCAGCTATACCTAATCAACAGTGCTCAACTGCTCAGAGATCTGGGGAATGTGATATTTAAATATTTAATTATTAAAAAAAAACTTTTCATAACAAATGAGACAGGTTGGTTCCTAGCAACAGCACTCTGCTTCCTCCAAAGAAGACAGAAGACAAATGGACACACAACAACGTCCATCTGCAGTTGGTTTCAACTGCCAGGTGCTGACCATTGGGCAAAATTGCCTTTGATCTAAACTAAAGATCTCCAGACATGGAGGAATCACTGGAATCGACAGCCTAGCTGCTCAGGTGAAGGGAGGCCTGTCTTCCTAGAGATTTCTTAGCCCACGGGGTCTTCTGGAGCCTGACAGGCCCTGCGCTAAACAGCAAAGGCCAAGTGCAACCTTCAGCGACCATGGAGGACCCAAAAAAGACTAGCTTTGGGTGCCAACGAAGTAAGTTTTCTGTCTTTTTAAAATCAGTAACTCAAGTAAAATCTTATCCTTTTCAAAGATCTCTGATACAGTTTAATAGCTGAGAGGTTTTGCCAGTTTTAAAATTTCTCTCTTATGCTGCCTTCCATAGTCTTAAAAATACTTTTCATTGTACAAAAATATGTCAAAGTCATTATACAATGTATGTGTCTAAAACTTCTGTTTTCACAAACCCAAGGAATTCTTGTAAGTTCCAGGGAGCCAAATTAAAGGATCCACCTTAAACAGGTCAGATACATCCCCCTTAATTCCTTGGTCCTAAAATTTTTTTTCCTTAATTTAACTTTGTTTTTTGTTCTGCCAATACCTTAAACAGATATAAAAGACATCAGACATTTCCATGTCACAAACACCGGACAGGAACAAAGAGACCAGCTACACCAGGATGTGGCCAGCACTCAGTCTTCTCAGGTCCCTCCACCCCAAAGATGACACTCACAAATAAGCCGGAAGCAGTCTTGAGAATCCGCCACCCCAATTCCGTCAAACTGTGGTGTCTAATCTCCCACTTTTTATTATAAAAAAAGAGCTGGGAATGTTATGGTTTTCATCTCTTTAAGAGACAAGCCATGCCCACTACCAGTGACCCCTGCCCTCCTTTTGCCATCTTGACTCTCACCGTTCCCTTTGGTGCATGAGATCCCCTCTCCCCTGCTCCCTTCCCTGTCTCTCTCCTTTCTCTTCTCCTTCATCCCCCACTCTATCTCCTCTAAGTAATAAATATCCAATTCTATTCTGTACAATGTATCTGTCCATGTGCCTTCTACCAGCCGCCTGTTCACACTCTTGGGCTCACTGGGACCAGCCAGCCCGGGACCAGCCACCACTTGGAAACCAGCAGCCATCTCTGTCTGGGACTAGCTGCTCCCAGAGCATGCTGCCTGCCTGCTGCCGCTGGGTACCTTGCAGCATTTTTTAAAAAATCATAAAAAGAGGTCTTACCCAGCTCATGGGAATGTCCACTTATGCCTAGCTGCACCTGTCTGAAGATGAAAGTATTAGGAGTGGGCCTGAGGTCTCAAGGAAATGACCACACAATTCAAAATATTTTGGACACCAATAAGTTTTAGGTTCCTAGCACCCATGTTAGGCCACTCACAACGACGTGTGATTGCGGTCCAGGGTGTCTGACACCCTCCTCTGGTCCCCTCAGGCATCTGTACACATGTTCATTACTCCCCAAGACCCACACAATTCAAAACTATCAAAATAAATACTTTTTTGTTTGTTTTTTGAGACAGGGTTTCTCGGTAGTTTTGGAGCTTGTCCTGGATGTCACTCTGTAAGACCAGGCTGACCTTGGACAAAATTAATCTTTTAAAAATTACTGATGAAATATGTGTGCTAAACTTTATTTAAAAATTATCTTTACCCCTCATGAAATATCGATAGTTTTAGTTTTGTGTTTTTTAATTTATTTGTTTAATTGCATTGATGTTTGGCCATGGGTGTCAGGTCCCCTGGAACTGGAGTTACAGACAGTTGTGAGCCACCACATCGATACTGGGATTTGAACTCGGGTCCTCTGGAAGAGCAGTCGGTGCTCTTAACCGCTGAGCCATCTCTCCAGCCTGTCTTATTAGTTTTGACTGTGAATTTGACACAACCTGGAGTCATCTGGGAAGAAATTTCTAGTGATGAATTCTCTAGATAAGGTAGGCCTGTGGGCCTATCTAGGAGGGTCTGTCTAGTTTGTTAACTGATGTAGGAAGGTCTAGTCCACTGTGGAGAGCCCCATTCCCTAGGCAGGGGGGTCTGGACAGGTACCAAAGCTACAGAGAAACCCTGTCTCAAAAAACCAAACAAACGAAACCAAAATCCAGCGCATGCTCTATGTTTTGTGCACCGGGTGAGCTGCACCACATTCAAAAGGCTCGTGGTCACAAAGACTACTTGGAGAAGAGCCAGGACAGTAGCTTCAAGAAATCCAGAAGTCCAGGCTGATGGGACAAGGGGTTCCCTGGAGGCCTAGCATGGCGTGGATGACTGGTCCAGGGTTCCTAAGGACACAGCAGAAGGAGCAGTAGCCTAGCCCCTGCATTGTGAAGAGGGCCCAGACCCAGGGGCAGGGACCATTCCAGGATCTTGGTTTCTGCTATTTAGGAGACACCTAGCAGCACATCCATCACACACAGGCATCCACTTACCTCCCCCTGATCCGATTTCCCCATCTTTCCATGAAGATGTGCTGAGGCAAGAAGAAAAGACTGCAATTTCAGGAAGGCCTTGGCCAACTTCACATTGCACCTCCTGTGGCTCCGCTGGGTGCGGTCCAGACCCACCCAGCTCACCCCCAAACTCCAAGTTTTCTAGTAAAACAATAAAAGAAGAGAAAGAATGGTGGGATCACACAAATACGTTAGTCTCGCACTGCGAGGATGCCATGTGCCTGGAATAAACTGTCTAGTCTCCCCGCGTGGCTCCTCTTCAGCCTGTGAGCAAAGCCTTGGCTTGAGAGGCACCACATTCTCCTTTCGCTCTGGACAAGAAGGATGACAGCGATCTGTAGCTCTCTTCAGCCCTGGTCCAAAGCATGTCAGCCAGTAAAAGGGCATGGATTTCTGCAGAGAAGGCTCCTGTAGTGGGAGACAAGCTTTGGGACGCTGGGGAAGGCACGGTAGAGGGCTGCAGTGCCCTGGCTAGGAAAATGGCTGCTGCTGGCCTGGGCTGGGGAGACTCTCAGGCCTGCAGAAAGCATCAGTACTTTTATTCTAAGCAGGGAGGTGGAGAGCCCAGTCCTGACTCGGGTTCTAATACAAGAGGTTCATTTTCTTGACCCTTTCCTTTCTAGAACCCTATCCTAGCGTACCACTCCATCATCTGTTTCCACATCCCACCTCCAGGTAGCTCATTGGTTTACAGAAAACAGGAGCAGAAATATCTGAGAAAGCAGAACTTTAAAGAGACTGTTGAGCCCACCCGCAGCATCCGGACCTCGCTCCATAAATGGTTATATATAAGCACCCAGAACTCCACTATCTACAGGAACTTTTAACTTCCTTCAAACAAGAGTGTCCTTTAAACACAAGACATGTACTCCAGATCCAGGTCCACCGTGGTCAACATCAGCAGCAGCGATGCTCCAAATGATTGTGTGACCTGGTCCCTATTTAACACTGTGTTTATGAACTGCTGTTGCCTGGGTTTCCTTGCCTATGTCCTCTCTGTGAAGGTAAGTGTTCTCGCTGTGGGAGTAATGGGGCAAAAAGGTCCGTGTGGAACTGAGGCTCTTCCTGCCCAGAGAACACCTGGGATATTGTACAGCCTCGTGTTTGTGCACGCGTGACACTCTGTGTTTGGTGTCCTGTATGTAGCTATGTTTGTGTCTCTAGACTGTGTAGACAGCATATAGTGCAAGTGAATTTTAAGTGTCTTGGAGACTCTCCTAGGTAGGCAAAGGGTAAGGCTGCCTAGGGATTCTGGGTGAGACTGTCTCCACTCTCGAGGACTTCTCCTGACTGCTTAGGGTCTGGAATGCCTGGGGCACCAGTGTGTGTGAAAGCAGGGCTTACAGAAAACAGTACCGCACGGTGGGACGGGGGATGAGCAGACAGTGCTGGGCTCTGTGTGACAGTCTGAGTGTGTGAGAGGGAGGGGGTCCTTGTGCTGAGGGAGGAGATGGCAGTGGGCAGTAAGGACAGTGGGGGAACTGAGGCAGAGCACCTGGCTCTCAGATGACTTGCTCCAAGTCCACACTGATCATCTGGTCTCCTCCAGTGCAGGGACACATCTGCTCACATTGGAGTCAATAAAGTGTCGGGATGGCAATTGTGCTAGAACTTTCTGTCCCCGACCGGTCCTGTCCTGAACTTACTCAGGGTTTTTCTGGCTTTCTTCCTGTCTAAGAGGAGCTGTAGGGGCAGAGTACAGGGCCTTCACAGCCAGGAAGGTTTCTGGCTTCTTGCTGGAGACAACAGTTGACCAGCATCCTGCCTAGGGTCCTCTTTTACTTAGCAGGCACTGGCAGGCAGTAGCATATCCCTCCCAGAATTCCACAGGACACCTGGGTTGCAGCCAGAATGCCTTAAAGAAGTGAAGACTTAAAAGAATGTCCTACCTATCTAAAGAAGAGAGATGTACACGTCCCATCTGAGGGTCATGCTGTCTTTGTTTCCAGCTCTCGTTCTCTGCTCCCATCCTCTCTGTTCACACAGCTTATATACACATTCAACCACAAACTTCAGGCAGTAAATGAGGCTACAAAAGCGATTTTTCAGTGCCCTGATGTATTCCTTGAGTAAAACCATAAGGGGCAAAAAAAACTTGTCAGCTACCAGTTAGTAGGCAGTTGTAAAAGGGGATAAGTATATTCAGTGGCCTTTTCTCTTAAGAGGGTTGCCTACTGCAGAGGCAGGAGGATCTCTGTGAGTTCGAGGCTGGCCTTGTCTACAGAGCAAGTTCCAGGACAGGCTCCAAAGCTACAGAGAGAAACCCTGTCTTGAAAAATCAAAATTAAAAAAGAAAAAGAAAAAAAGGAAAGTTGCTTACAAGAGTTTAGAGAAGAGAAAGGCTAAACTATGCAGGGGTCTAAGGAAGAAAGAAAGAAGTGTGTACTATTCTACATTTGTTAAGCGTATTAAGCTTTATTTATTTATTTATTTATTTATTTATTTATTTATTTATTTTCGAGACAGGGTTTCTCTGTAGCTCTGGAGCCTGTCCTGGAACTAGTTCTTGTAGACCAGGCTGGCCTTTAACTCACAGAGATCTGCCTGCCTCTGCCTCCTGAGTGCTGGGATTAAAGGAGTGCATCACTACCACCTGGCACGTATTAAGTTTTATAAACTGACATTGTGTGATTAACAAGACATGAAGGTGTCGTATCATCCCCCCTCCCACCCCCCTGCTCCCCAACCCTAATGACTGGAGGCCATTTCTGAGCATCTATGAGTAACCATGGCAACCTACAGGAGGCAGGGAAAATAATGCTGAGCTTTTGCCAAGGCTGGTATTGAAAGTGTTCCAAGTCAAAAGATATATATTCTTATCCTGCAAGCAGCCTCAGAGCACAAGGAGGGGATTTATGGGAGGCAAGATAGTAGCTTTTTTTGGGTTGGGGGGCAGGGTTTTTCTGTAGCTTTGGAGCCTGTCCTGGAACTAGCTCTTGTAGACCAGGCTGGCCTCGAACTCACAGAGGTCAGCCTGCCTCTGTCTCCAGAGTGCTGGGATTAAAGGCGTGCGCCTCCACCACCTGGTTTATAAAGTTATATTTTATTCACTAGAAGTACACAGCAGAAGAGGAAGTCATCCTGTCAATCCTCAGGAACAACAGGCCCCACAGATGAGGAACACACTGGCAACAGCTGTAGGAAGAATCCCGCGGCTATTCTGGGAAGGGGGGAATCAGGTTGGCACACAAGAGAGTTATAGACAGACACAGACAGTATTTATAGGCAATGGACTCATAAATATTGTTTGAGTTTATCCTCCATCAGATCAATCTGGCAGGTTGACCTTATAAATATCAGCTGCCACTTCTGCGTATCTTTGCGGACCCCGAGGGTAACCGAGTATCGCCTCTCTCTGGCTTCATGTACTCGCAGCACCCAGGACAGGTGCAGAGCCACAAGCCAGGGAGTCCTCAGTCCAGGGATAAAGAGCCAGGCTAGGGTCCTCCCATTTCTGGAGGAAGAAGCCTGGACCCAGACAAACTGTTCCCAGGATTTCTGTAGTAACTTCCTGCTTGGATTCTGGGCAAACTGTTTGTAGTACCCGCTGGGCGCTGTAACGGGGCAATGACCCTTACCTTCTCACCCATGTCTTACAGGTTTATTTCAGGTCAGGTCGGGGTGGGCAGCAGGAGATGCACAAGGATTCTTCGCTGCCAGGCGCCACCTGCTGACGGAGCACATTATCGCTCTGTGGAGCCTCAGATCTGAGATGGGGAGGGTGGGTCTCCATGGGCCTTGGCACCCTTCACCATTAGTCTGTACTCAACATTCACCTACCCTCTTCCTGGATGCCCTTGGTGCCTGCATTTCGGGCACCCACACATCTTTAGAGCTCCTGGGTGGCACTGTCTCCCTGTGTTGGTACATAGGATTCTGATCATCTTGTGAGGCTAACCGGGTTTAGAGATGCCCTCTTCACCGAGGTTCAAGGTTCCGGAGCAGGATCCCTCCCTTCACTGTCTTGGGAGCTGACCCTGTCTTAGGAAGACAGGGACCCTAATAGCAGTGAAGACAGAGGACCCCACTGGGAGAGCAGCTATGAAACTGGACGGGAGTGACTCAGCCAGACCCAGTCATAGGGAGAAATCAAGGCCTTGTTTGCATCAGTTAAGGAGCAAGAGTTTTTGAGAAGAACCCAGTGTGGCGTCTCCGCTAAAACTCATGGCTCTGGGCCTTCAGAGTGCTCAAGCTCAGACCCAGATTGGGACTGAATGAAGGTAGAGACTTCAGGACAAGGAACACAGTCCCTATGGTCACACTTCAGGCCTTCCTGATGCCGCGTAGGAACAACGCTTGGCAACTATCCGGAAGGCAGGGAAACTGCAGACATGTTAACACAGTGGACACCGGAATCAGGCCGTGATCTCCAGACCGAACACCGTGCTAACCGCCTGTCTGAAGTGGAACACATGGGGCTAGATGACTAGGCTTACCACAACCCATGAGTGACGTCAGAATGGAGCTGCCTGTTCTGGTGGAAGCTCCGCCTGAGCCCCTAGCACCCATGTACCAAAAGAGTCTGGGATGATTAGGCGGAAGCCCCATCTCTCCCTAGACCCTGCCTGCCAAGAGTTAGCCCCTCCCCAGGGCTGCTCAAGACCCTGACCGTAGCTCTGCCATGTGTGTAGCAGAGGAATCCAGCAACCGGGGATCCAACACTGCTCGGCCATGGAGAGTCCCCATGCTCGCTTCCCATTCACCAAATGTGTAATTGGAGCAGAAGCAATGGAAGCTGTTACAACTCCCCATTGTGTTGGTGACCTGTAGGGTGCCCTACACCTGCAGGGTAGGGTGGTCAGCTGAGTGGGAAGACTCGAGTTGTTCCCCACCCCAAGCCGGAAAGTAAACAAACAAAGCAATGTCTCATCCGAAAAAGACAGCAGAGAAACCCCTGTCCTCCAGCCTACACTGAGTGGGGTGCTGGTCCCACCCATTTTCCTCACCTGTTCTGGCAGCAACAGGACAGAGGGTCTCTGGTAGGATTAAGCCGGCACCAACCAGCCAACAGGATTGCAAAGAGGGGTGACTGTAGGAGGTGCTGATAACCCTGTGAGGAACTCAAGGAAGAGAGTGAATAAAACGACTAGAACCTGGGAACTGGGGGAGCCCCAAACCCTAAGACTCGGAGCTCTAGGAAAGGCGGGTGCTGAAAGGTGCCTTGAAGCAGGTCTGGCAGCCCTGTCCTTGCAGTACCACCAAGACAGAAAGTGACTACAACCCCTAACAGGAGAGTCCAGGCCAGGCCTCCCCATTGTCAGGGAAGGGTAGTGCGATCAGGAGGCTTTGGGAGCCGGGCGATGGTGGCGCACGCCTTTAATCTCAGCACTCGGGAGGCAGAGGCAAGCGGATCTCTGTGAGTTCGAGGCCAGCCTGGTCTACAGAGCTAGTTCCAGGACAGGCTCCAAAGCCACAGAGAAACCCTGTCTTTTAAAAAAAAAAAAAAAGGAGTGGCTTTGGGGCCATAGCCCTCACCCCACCACGTACTTGAGAAGGCTTTTCCGGCACAGTGGTGGTCCTCAGTGACCCTTCCACTATCACGAATAAATCGTGGTGGGGCTGGAGGAAAAGGGAGTTGGAGAAGCACAAAAAAACCAGCCCTGGACCATGAGGTCACAGCCACGTGACCTGGGACCATTTAGTTCTAACACCAAAGTCCAGTGACTGACCATGTTAGGGCACTAGGCCTCTGCAAAAGGAGACACAGGTACAGTTCACCCCAACTTCTACCTGCACCGAAGCCAGAACTGGCCTCTAGAGTGAGTGTTGTGGGCTCTGTGAGCACCCTTAATTGCTGGGAGCAAAGAGGGTTCTGCGGGGGCTGCCTGGGACCTTGGCAGGGGCAGTGAAGTCTGCAGCTGTTACCCTGAGCTCCGCAGACTGCAGGACCCTCTCACTCATAATCAGTTTAGTTGGGCCCTGGGACAAGTCCTGACTTGGGTTCCAGGACAGGAAGTTTCCCGTTCACAGTCTTTCCTGACATCCTGCCCTGGAGTAATTTGATACACAGAACTTTTAGATCCACGCCCCTCAGAACTCAGCCAATTCTCATTAAGCCAAAATTCAGGAAAAGGAAACTTCTGAGAAACCGAAACTGCTGGAGAGAGGGTGGACCCACAGCACTTCACCCTCTACCCTTCACTGCTGGCTGTGCTCGGGACCATGAACCACACTTCCCAAGCCTTCCTGACTTCTCCCAGTGGGGGACACCCCCCAAACTACGAAAGAATCAAGGAAGAATATGAGGTGGCTGAGATGGGGGGACCCCATGGCTCCACTTCTGTCAGAACCACCGTGATCAACATGCCCAGGGAAGTTGCTGTGCCGGACCATGTGGTCTGGTCCCTGTTCAATACGCTCTTCTTGAATTTCTGCTGCTTGGGGTTCATTGCCTATGCCTACTCTGTGAAGGTGAGTGTGGTGGAGGTGGAAGCGGTAGTGTGTGGGATCCGGGCGGTGGTGTACACCTTTAATCCTAGCTCTCGGGAGGCAGAGGCAGAGGCAGAGGCAGGCAGATCTCTTTGAGTTCGAGGCCAATATGGACTATAAAGGGAGTTCCAGGACAGTCAGAGCTAAACAGTGAAACCCTGTCTTGAAAAACTTAAAACAACAACAACAACAAAATTTGTGTGTGTGCCTGAAGTCCCATCTATCCAGAAGGCACCTAGGTGGGGATGGGGGTGGGGTCCTTTGTTTAAAATGTTTTTGTGCGTTCTTCTGTGGTATGCGTGTATGGGGACATGTAAGTGTGTGTTTGTGAGCGTGCGTGCATGTGTGTGCATGCGTGTACTTGTGTGTTGGATTAAAGATGCTCTATGGCAGATACAGGGTGAGGCTGCCTGGGTCAAGACTGTCCCAGGGCAGTCTAGAGAAACTCCCAGAGTGCCCCCTTCGCCTTGCACACTGGGTTAGCAGCAAGTCCTAGGGCCACGTGCATAGACAGAGTATGTGAAATGTTCCTGAAGAGGTGGGAGAGATGCAGTCCACAGGGAGCATGATGAGAAAAGCGTCCGAGCATTTGCCCATCCGCAACAGGGCCACTGACCACCTGCTCTGCTCCAGTCCAGGGACAGGAAGATGGTGGGCGATGTGACTGGAGCCCAGGCCTACGCCTCCACTGCCAAGTGCCTCAACATCAGCGCACTGGTCCTCAGCATCTTCACGGTTGTCATTACCATCATTGTGGTCGTCTCCATTGCTGTGTCCGCTGGTCGTCTTTACACTTAATAGAGGATTCTGGCTTTTGGACCTGATGCGTGCTCCACCATCCACGGCTGCCTTCCTCCTTGCTCCTTTTCCCTTGCCTGTATATACAGATGTAACCTCACAGCTCTGTCCATAGCAGATTCAATAAAGTACACACGGTAGCTACTGTGCTTTGACTGGTCATATTCAGCTTATCCCTCAATCTTCCTCTCTCTGAGGTGGGCAGGTAGCTTTTTCCCAATTTGGCAGCAATTGGCCTATTGCTGTGAAAATTTGCTGGCCAAGTCCTGCATGGTGTTTGGCTACACCAGGCAGGAAGAACCTGAGCTTCATCCAACCATGGTCCCATATTCCAACAGCATCCAGCTCAGTTCAGAAGTGGAGGACCACCAGAACAGGGTCCTTTCCTTCCAGGAAGAAGAAAACTCTGACTCAGACAAGATGTGTCACGGGTTCCATTGGTGTTCTCTGGATGCAGCCTGTGGATCCCTGGGTTTACCCTAGCCAGGAGTTGCAGGGTGTTGTGGTGGGATCCTAGTGCCCCCTGCTGGTCTCATAGCAGTGTTGCAGTTCATTCCATGTCCTGGAGCCCTGACTGACCCTAAACAAAACTCATACTGCCCTAGTGCCCCCTGCCGGCGTTCTGCGGCCATGGCGGGCACGTGATCGTGTGGGGCCTCCCCCCCCCACCCCCCCATCCCGGTATGGGCGAGTTCCAATCGCGCCCTCCCCTGCCTGGGTTTGCAGGACTCACTTCTTGGGTCCTGGTAACCCTAGTTACTCACGTTTCCACTTCACTTAGATGCACTGAGTTTATGAATCTCCTGGGGGTGGGCGCTGTCTCCCTTGTTGGTGCTGGGACCCAATATGCGTCCCACAGGTGCCTTTCTAAGGGTCCTTATTTCAGGTTCCCAGAGGCAAGCACCTCGAGAGTGGCTGGGTCTTCTCCCTGTGTTTATGGGACTCGGCTTAGCCCGTCCTCCTGCTCCTTGCCTCCTAAGTCACTGTGGTGGGTTTCAATGTTTCCTTGTGGCTACACCACCTAGGGCGGCAGGGTGGGTCTGAAGGGCCGTGGGTGCTAGTGAGAGAGACCTTGTAATGGTTGCATCCTGGAGTGGAGGGAGGTGGTGTCTGCACTCAACAGAAAGGGATGGGAACACGTACGCAACTTATACAGGTTTTAGGCTTCTCGTCCAGGTTGGCAGATACCCCATAGAGAATCAGGACCCCAACTTGTCTTCCAGTTCAGACTCTGACAGGAGCTGCCCTGCCCAGCAGGGAATTTAACCACCAGAGAAGGGAAAAAAAAGAGGCGTGCCCTTTCCAGAAGGCATTTGCTTGGCAAGGCAGCGCGCCTGTTTACTTCATCAGCCTCACAGGATGTCCGGCTCAGTGGGAGGGTGTATGGAAAGAAAAGTTCGAGAAATGTGGTTCGTGGAGTAGTCCTGAGGTGCCTTAACCGCCCCCACCCCCCCCACCCCCGCTTTCCCGCCCCCGCAGCCCGCAGCAGTTTTGGTTTCCCTGCCGGCACTTTCATGAAAGGGATCTTGTCTTATTGGGGATGGATGAGAACTAAAGGATACAGAGGAGGCAGGATAGAGATGGAAAATTAGGAGGACTCGGCTAGGGAGGAAGTCCGTCCTGGGAGCTAGCTTGTCTTCTTCACCACAGACTCAGAGTCAAGAAATATGACTGTCCTCCTCCTCCTCCTCCTCCTCCTCCTCCTCCTCCTTTTTTTTTTTTTTTTTTTTTTTTTTTTTTTTTTTTTTTTAAGACAGGCATTCTGTCCTGGAACTCACTCTGTAGACCTCAAACTCAGATCCACCTGTCACTGTCTCCTGAGTGCTGGCTGGGATTAAAGGTGTGCACCCATGGCCCCTTCTAAATACTTAACCAATCTACTAACTATTTCGCTCAGTCTTGTCTTGACATTTTTCTTGATTGTCAAGGGTCAGGCTTTACGTGAACGGAAGAACCTAAGGGGAAAGGAACTCCTTCGGCTACCGAGGGCAAGGTTGGGCAGTGTCTCCATTACTGCCGCAGCCCTGACAGGAGAAATCCTGAGGATCAGATTATTCCAGGGCAGGTTAACAGGTAACACTGAGCGCCAGGCAAATTTTCTGTCCAGAAACCTGAGTCAAGATTTGACTCACTTAATCCCAGCACTCGGGAGGCAGAGGCAGGCGGATCTCTGTGAGTTCGAGACCAGCCTGGTCTACAGAGCTAGTTCCAGGACAGGCTCTAAAGCCACAGAGAAACCCTGTCTCGAAAAACAAAAAA